TAAGTATTGTGTAATTTTGCCTCTCTTTTGATTCAGAGTTCATTCAAATGCTGAGACTGACGAATTTAATTGAACCAAAGTAATGGAATTGATCAAACCAGAGTACATTTTTTTTTGAAAACAGTTTTATTAATTTTAACAACAAACAAAAACACATAAAACATAAAAACATCATCTTTCCTTCATGAGTTTACAGACAGTATATCGGTTGGTTTATCACTTTTTTTTGTGCATCCATTTCATAGTCTCCATTGTAGTTATATTACATAATAACTCATATTATCAATCAACAATTATATAGCCTGATATCATTATTAAACAATCATTTGACTATAATTTTGTTAATTCATACTTTAACGAGATAACTATAATTTACTTAATTTATTTTATAGCAAATCATAAAGTCATACCAAGTCTATCTTAATAAAATTTTATAAGGATAGTATCAAAGAAAAAAAAAAAGAAATATGTATTCATTGTTTCCTAAAATTCTAAATATTCTATTATTATATTTTATTATCTAGCCATTGATAGAAAAGATCCCAAACTTCATAAAATTGTTTATCTTCTTGTTCTCTAATTTCAAATGTCAATCTACTCATTTCAGCACATTCCAATATTTTCTTAATAATTTCTTCCTGTGATGGTATTTTCTTACTCTTCCAATTTTTAGCAAATACAATCCTAGCCGCTGTCAATACATTTACAATCAAATATTTCAGATTTTTATTGTATGTATCAGGTAAGATTCCCAATAAAAAAATCTCTGGTTTTAAATCTATATGTTTCTTTGTCATTTTTTCCAACCATACGCGAATTTTAGTCCAATATTATCTAGCGTCCTCACAAGTCCACCACATATGGTAATATGAGCCAGGTGTCTGATGACATTTCCAACATTTTTCAGATTTATTCTTGAACATTCTTGCTATTCTTGTCGGGGGGGAAATGCCACCTGTAAAACATCTTATACAGATTTTCTTTATATGCTGTTGACATTGTCATTTTATAATTTTGAGACCACAGTTTTTGCCATTTCTCCAAATCAATCCCATATCCAAAATTCTTCCCCCAAACAATCATCGTTTCTTTAACTTGTTTTTCCTCTAATTTCCAGTAAATAACCATATAATTTTTTAATCACTTTTTCATCAGTACCTGTCAAAATCTTATCTAAGTCAGTCAATTTATCATAGAATCCCTCTATTTTAGAATCTTTAACATACCTTGAATGTATTTGCACATATGAAAACCAATTCATCTTTATACCTTGTTCTTCTAGATTTTGCATCGTTTTAAGTTCATCCTTTTCATCCAATATTTCCCCATATCTAACTGTTTGTTCCTTCTTGTATGTTATAGGATAAGAAAAAGCTTCAATAGTTGATAACCAAACTGGAATTTTCAAATAGCATCGTCTCTTAATTTTCTCCCAGTTTAACCATAAAGACTCCCGTATATAATGCCTTCTAAAATAGCCCTGCGATTTAGTTCCCTTATACCACAGAAAAGCATGCCAGCCCAGTAATAAATCATGTCCTTCTAGTGTCAACAATCTAGTCTTTCTTAATGTTATCCATTCTTTGGCCCACATCAAGTTTGCAGCTTGATAATACAGCTCCCAATTAGGAAGGCCAAATCCTCCTAGTTCTAGCATCTTGTAAAAGTTTTAATTTTATTCTCGCTTTCTTACCTTGCCATATATACTTCAACACAATTTTATTTAAATCTTCAAAACAATCTTTGCCAAGCCTAATTGGTATTGTTTGGAACAAATATAAAATTCTGGGTAAAATATTCATCTTGATTGTTGAAATTCTGCCTATTAATGACAGTTGTAGGTTTTCCCATTGCTTCAAATCAAATGCTATCTGCAGTTTGAGTTTAATATAATTGTTCTCTTTCAATGTAGTACACCTTGACGTCAAATATATCCCCAGATACTTAACCTTGTTCGTGACTTGAATTTTCAATAGGTCTGCCAGTTCTTCTCTTTGTCTTAATAACATGTTCTTTGTCAGAATCTTTGTTTTATCTTTATTTATTTTCAAACCAGCCATCTCACCGTACGTCTCTATCTTTTCCAATAGTTTTAAAGCTGTCTCTAGAGGATCTTCCAAAATGAAAACCAAATCATCCGCAAAGGCTTGTAGTTTAAATTCCTCCTTTTTGATTTTCATTCCTTTTATATTTTGGTCCTCTCTAATATTTCTATTCAACACTTCCAAAGTTGATCAATTGATCAAACCAGAGTACATTTTTTTTACAACAGTCCAAGGTTAATATTTATTTCATTGCTCATACACTGAAAGAGTTCAGAATTGGGAGATATAATAAAAAATTCAAAAATTTATTAATTTGGATTGCTTGCTTTCTGGGACCATGGCCCAAGTTACCAGGATGAGGGAGTCTTGGTATGAGATGAGCTATACCTTATGAGTAAAAATCTCTTCTGCCAAAGCATGACAAGCTTAGTCACAAGCTTAGTATCTTTAAGTTAAATCCTATGTGGAAGGAAACCAAAAATATGTCGGAAAAAATGCTTCTTCACCACAAGGGATTGCTCTTTACAGTGGCCTATGAAATCAACCTGTGAGAAATCAACAAAAAATATTCAAAACTCATGGCTTTCATTATCAAATATGGGGCTCATGGGATATGGATGGATGTGTGTGTGTGTGTGTGTGTGTGTGTGTGTGTGTGTGTGTATGTAAAGTTAAATATGCATGGACAACACTCAGGAGGGGCTCATGGGATATAGACTAGAACTTAATTTAATGTGCAAGTGTTTAGAATCATGAAAACAGTTATTTAAAAATGTTTTAATAGTTAAGATTGTCAGTTGCAGATGCCTAAGAATTACACTAAGTATTATGAGACATTGTTTTATTGGTTGTGTTTGTGTTTACATTGCAAATCATTACGAGTCTTTGAGAGAGTAGTAGTCTCAGCATAATGAATGTATGCATTACATTTAGCTAACTTAACATGTAGGAAATAGATGTGATGCATGTAGAATGAAATGGGATATTATTATATCTGAGTCATTATTGGAATATTCAGAAGAGGAAAATGGCGGATAGTTTTGACAATCTATTATTTTTTTAAATGTGTTGTATAAAAGTGTTCTTTGTTTTGGAGTGAGGCAGTACCAAGGTTGGGAATGTGTTTGCAGGACTCAGAATAAATTTTGAGGAGGGTTAAGCATGTAGCAAAGAGTTAAAGTTTTGAAGTGAGGTTAGGAACTCTTCAGATGTGCTGGAAGCTGGGGAATAGTGCAACTGCCCTGGCTCTTCTTGATACAGGGAAACAGCGCTATGGTGGTCCTCCTCCTTTTTCCAAGGCCAATCTAACCATTGTTAATAGGGAAAAGAGGTTGAGCCTGAAGCTTCTGCTCTGTGGGGTTCCTCAGGACTGTGCACTCTATTCCTAACAGCTAAATTCAGCTAACTAAATAAGGTTATCCATTGAGACACAGTATGGTATTACCAGTACTCTGCTGAGTCTGGAGTGCCTAGTGTCTGAAGGCTATGAAGGTCTGGATGGAGAAGAACAGGTGTCCACTCAGTCTGAAATAACTGGGTAGCTATGAACTGGGAAGGAAGGTTGGATTCAGAAACTTGTCATCTTTTGCTCTGAATGGATTGCACTTCCTCAGACAGAACCTGTGTGCAGTTTGGAGGTCTTATTGAGATATTAGTTCTGCTCAAAGAGTAACTGACACCTGTGGCCAGGAGAGGCTTTGCACAGATTTTTATAGATTTATTGTATTTACAGGTAGTTCTTGTTTAATCATTCAGTGACCATTTGAACTTGGTACTGAATGGCACTGCACAAGTGGCAGTTACAATTGGTCCTCATATTTATGGCTGTCGCAACTTCCCATGCTCCCATGTTCATGGTCTGCAACCTTCCCTGATGGTATCCAACAAACCAAGTCAATGAGGAAGCTGGCAGTGAATCACATAAGGTTCTTACTTAATGACAACAATCAGGACTGCTGGAATTGCCACTGCTAAGCAGTGTGATCACATTTTTTTTTTCAACTTACAATCACATCTCTTAATGGAGTTTCTAGTCCCAATTAGCTTCATGAAAGAAAACTACCTGTATTTAGATTTATTAGCTCATAGTAATAGAAATGGGAGGTGCACTTCAGTCTCTCTCTCTCCCCCCCCCCCCCAATTTCTACTACTGTAATATACTCTAGTTGGGTCTGCTCTTGAAAAATATTCAGATGATGCAACTTGTCCAGAATGCATTTCAGCAATTCCAGGCATTTCATAACACATTTTTGCCTCCTACTTGAGCTGCAGTAGTTTTCAGTGGGCTTCAGATGCACCAACTTCCACTGAGCTTCCAAGTGCAGTTCAAAGTGCTGTTATTGCCTGTAAAGCTCTACATGGCATAGGACCATGTTACTTGCCAGGCCGTTGATTTCCAATTGCTTGTGCTTGTTGTTTGTGCTTGTGTTGTGCCACTTGCCCACTAGAACAGCACCAACCCCTACCACTTTCATAAAGCAATGAATGTATATTGGGAATTTGAGTGAGAATGTTAAGCAAACCCTGGTGGTAGATTTGTTAGATATATATTTTTTCTGAAAGCAACTATGGAAGGTTTTCAGGCCTTGGATATGGATATATTGATATTTTTTTTAAGCATATGGCACGTGTTATCCAGGGATCACCGAGGTGGCTGGCTGCCTCTGTGAAAGGAATTTTGGGGGTAGTATTATCTTTGTCTGCGGGATGCCTGAATGCTGGTAGGCAATTGGGGGAGGCTCCTTTCTTGGCCCTATGCGGTTTATTTGCTCATAGGAATCAAGCCGTCAACCTCAGCGGTACGCAGGCCCAGTGTCCTTCCATGTGAGCCATTGCAGCCCCTGGTATATTGATAATCATGGGTGTTTCTTTAACTGTTTTGAATGGTCTTGTAGTATTAATTCATAAAGGGAAACTTCTGGTTGCAAATCTAACATTTATCTTTTCTTCTTTTAGCTGAAGATCCATCTGAAAGCTATGTGAAATTGCGAGATTTTGTATTAGTAAAATTGTGTCAAGATTTACCCTGCTTTTCTCCAGAGAATCTTAAGCAAGGCTTCAGTCAAGATATGGTAATAGAAGCTCAACAGAAGCTGAAAGTAAATAAGGTATTAATAATATTTTAAATGTATCCAATATTGACATTTTGCAAATTGGTGTCCTGTTTGAAGAAGTATTCTATATCCTACTTGGAACTTTGCTAAATAAGATTGTTGTTGGTTTTTCTTTTCCCTTGCAGCTGCAGGGAATGTAGAATGATATAGGCAATCCTCAACTTATGACAGCAATTGGGACCAGAATTTCTGTTGCTAAGTATGGTGTCATCACTAGGGCCAGCAATCCTTACAGTCCCAGTTGCCACCGTTAACTGAATTCCATTATCATAAGGTGAGGCAACTACCTCACTTCCCACAACCAAAGACAGTGAGGAAGCTGGCAGGAAGTTGCCTGTCCCAGACTTGCAGGCAGGGGGAGGGAATGAGGAAACATGGGGGAGGGTCAGGGCAGGTTCCCGAGAGGCACAGGTCAGGAAAGGTACATGAGGGGTTATGCAAGAGTCATGGCCCAAGTTGGTGAGAGTGTGAGAAAGGCTTGACAAGGGTTGGGAAGAGTGCATGGGGCTCATGACTGAACAATGCAGCACAAGTGCAGAAGATCTGCAGGAGAGTACACACGTGGGGGATACTTATCCCAGTGACCTGTAACCTTCCTGGATGATGGCGTTCCAATTGACCTTTTGAGTAAGCCAGCAGGGAAGATTGCAAATGGTGATCATGTGATTGTAGAGCACTGCAACTGGTCGTAAGTGTGAACTGCTTGCCAAGTGCCCAGATTGCAATAACGTGACCATAGGGGGTGCTAGGAATGGTCAGAATGCTGAGGACTGGTTATAACTACCATTTGTTCAGTGCTGTCATGACTGAATGGTCACTGAACGAATAGTTCTGGGTCTAGGACTATCTGCAAAGTGCTCTTAGATAAGGAATTATTTACAGAAGGACTACATTGTAACCAAAACTATATATAATAGTTATTGTGTTGAGAACTATTTAGTACAATGCAGCTTCTTTTATTGATAGGTTCTACAAACCCCACAAGTTTTAAGGTAGCATTTTTCAAAGTTATGGTAATATTGTATCGGTTACCAACAGTGAATTTCAAATTGTTGTTGAGATTTGACTTTTGTATAGTTATGCAATAAAATCTTTGAAGAATTTAGGACACCAATTTTCTAGGGAAAAATGTTCAGAAGGCTCGACTATTTGAAACTTACAGATTGCAAAATGAAAAATCTTTTGTCTAGAATGAAAATTGTACACCTCATCCACATACACACCAGAATTATTTATTTGCTTATTACAATTATGTGCCATGTTTCAATCAGGAGCTTAGGGTGGATGGTCTGCTATGTTTTTGTAGTTTATATCTTGCTGAGGTTAGGCTTTGATATGTTTGAGTTAATATTTTAAACAACCTGGAGTTATGTAGGCTAGGTGGTATATGAATGCTACAAATGAATAAATAAGATTTGAGAAAGTTAGGTCCTTGAAAAAGAGGAGAGATTAAAACTAATATGATGAATTGTACAGTGACTGCTGAAATTTAAGGGATGGAAACTGTAGTCAGGAAGAAAAGATAGTAGGCAAGATTTTTAATTTTATACATTGCGAACAATTATTCCAACTTGTTTTGTCATATGTTTTTCCTTTTACTCTTAGCAACATACACGGCGAGTTTATGAAATTCTCCGGTTACATGCAACAGACATGAGTAATGCAGAACAATCCAGAAGTTATAGATTGGATGTAAAAAGAAGATTGATGGGCCCATATAAGGTGCCTTTCTATCATTTTAATTTTTTATTTAAATTTGTCATGAGGGGAAGGAGTCAATGGACACTTTATTCACCACTCAGACTTTCCCAAATGCCAACTTTCTTTCCTTTTTATTTTGTCTGAATATCCCTTCTCCAAGTTCTTTTAGTTTTCTGCCTCCATTCCTGGTAAGGAAATCTCCAATTAATCTTTAATTTATTTTAGTAGAATACAAATCTATTATTTCATCACAGTGTCAATGAACTGGCAGGAAGTGGTGAAATGTGGTAATGTTCATATGTGTAAATCCTTTGTTTTCTAGAAAAAGCAAAGAGAGATTGCCAAGATGAGAAGGTGTTTAAGACCAGAAGAGTTGACCAATCAGTTGAACCAAATAGACCTAAATTTACAACATAAACAATTGGAAGAGACGTACCAGCAACTTATTTCAGATTATCGACGAGTCCTAGAACGAATTGCTCAGATCTGAGGATTCTCTATAAAAAACACGCAAACTTCTACCTATTTGCATTGTGAAATACATTCATGATCACTGCTCCACTGCAAAATTTCATGTGACATTTTAATCACTTTCGAAATGACTGTGGTTTTCTGTATTTTGGATTTTTTATATTTTTGTGTTGTAGAGTCTAAAAACTAGTACTTCAATCTACTGGTACTTTGCTGAAATAAAGAAAGTAGATTACAAGCATTAACAAAACTGGTCTGAATCCCTGCATAGTAAGTGTAAGATCTAGCTTACCAATTGAGATGATGTAACAAGATACCAAAGTACAATGGCATAAATATTAATACTCTGTGAAACTATGCTCAGTAATGAGTAAAACAAATAATCAATTTTTGCCTGCATCAAAAATTGAACCCCATGAATGGAAAGTGGATTTATTTATTTAAAACACTTATATAACATTTCAAACTAAAAATATCAAAGCAGTTAATATTTTGCATTTTAAAGACTCAAAATAATAAAGGATAAGCTAATATCAGTTAAGCATCTTTTTCATTAAACAATCAAGTCTGATTTGAGCCAGTCTTGCCCTATATAAATTCTCAGACTTTGGTTCATTTTATCACAGTGAAATTCTCTCTATACAAATGTCTCTATACAAATTCTCTCTATACAAATGTCAGAGATAGATTGCACTCCTGCTAAAAAAGAAGTGCCCCAGACCTCTGTTAAAAAAAAGATGACCTGCCTATTAGCTCTCGTTAATAAATTATATCCAAAGTTTATTAATGTCATGGTTTGGGACAACAGTGAATCTTTCCAAGTGTGGCTGCCTATCAAAGTCACACCAATAGTACAATATCAGATAGGCCAGCTACCAGGAAATTGCAAAGGACCCCAAAACAATAAAAATTGCAAGCCCTCTCTCACTTTCGAGAATATTGGGATCTATGATCCAAATCACTAAAATCTACAGCATTTCACAACATAATATGAGATGGTTTGACTTATGCAGAACTTAGGTTCAACATAGAAAGGCATGGTGAGGAATATAAAGACTAAAACTTAAAGTAGCCCCCCAAAAATGTATGGTCTCTGTCATTCTAATGGGCCCAATGCCTAAGAGTATAAATTGTGATGAATTGGTGTACCAAACTGAATAAAATTAGCACCTAAATAATTTAATGACTGTTACCATTTGTGGCTGAAGTTCACAGATCACAAATAGTATTACAATTTTGCTACTTTCCGTGAGTTTAAAATATAGTGGTTAAAATTTGGTATAAATATGAAGTGTATTTGGGAACTAAAATTCTGTTAACATTATAGATACATCCCATGAGAGGGTAGCTTGACCTTCTATGTGGCGAACCTTTTCGGCACCGAGTACCCAAACCAGAACATGTGCATGCCAGGAAACCAAAGACCAGCTAGCCGGTGCACGCATGCCTGTTTTCTGGCTGTTTTGGGGGCCATTTTCAGGCTGTTTTTCAGGTCATTTTTTGGGCCCAGAAACAGTCCAACAGGTTTTTTCTGGCTGTTTTCCAGTGCTCCAGCGCCCGCGAAGATCAGCTGGCCGGCGTGCATGTGTGCATCAGAAACCATAAGAGCAGTTGATGACGGCATGTGTGCCCACTGAGAGGGCTCTGCATGCCACCTCTGGCATGCGTGTCATACATTCGCCATCATGGTCCTATGTCAAATTCTTGCCTTAAGGTTAATTTAGCTTGATCTGGCCCAAATGGTAGATCAGCAGAACTGGAAAGCCACAACATAATTTCTTCTGGATTGCTTTTTACCCAAGAGTATTTGAAATTATCTGCCAATGTTAGGTGGACCAATCCAATACAGTTGCAGAATAGCTTCATCCAGTAAGTAAAAATATTTATCCAGGTTTGCAGAATAAATATTGATCTCGGTTTTATTGACTCCTGCTTTCTGCCGAAGTCAAGTTATGGAAGCAGAAAGGTGTAGGTGACAAGGGTAGAACTGAGCTCCAATTTTATTGGTGAGGTGGGGTATATTGGGCTTTTATCAGAATCAGCTGACTAACCAGCTATTAGCTACAAACTATTAGTATATTTCTGATCTCAGTTGAAAATGTGGCAATTAATATTCTTAAACTCATTTATAATTTGGTTGCTAATTTGCCTGGCTGCTAGAAAGGACAATAGAGACCCTGTTCAGGTGCCTTAATCTTCCTAGTAAGATTCCTCAGAGTAGCAGGAAGGACAATTTCTTCATTGTAGCCATGTGTCTGTGGAACTTCACCCTCAGTTTGTAGACCTACTGGTGGTTTATAATTCAATGTATTTTAATTATTTCTGCTCTTCTGGTATAGTAAATTTGTGGCAGCTCACTTCCCCACAAATACTTTAATCTCTGTAATAACATTTGCATGTTATTTGCTTTGCACAGTCTTTAGTGCCCAGAAGGATGGAGTATAAAACATCAATAAATGGAATTTCAAAACTTCTGGGGCAATGGCAGGACAATATACAAAATCCATCATACAATAGTTGGCAAAGTGCAACTACCTGGACCAGCTCTGTAGTTTTCTTGACAAGGATTTTTGGAAGGGGTTTGCCCCTTACAGCTGAGACAGAAGGACTTGCTCAGGATCACTCAGCTGGCATGCTTCCTGTTTCTAGCCTGATGCCTTAACCACTATACTAAATTGGCTCTTAAGTCAATCATCATCATCACATGGCATTTGGAATGCCAGTACTATAGGTAGTCCTCAACATATGACTGCAATTGAGCCAAAAATTTATGTTGCTAAGCATGACATTTGTTAAGTGTATTTTGTCCCATTACAACCTTTCTTGCCACAGTTGTTAAGGGAATCACTGCACATGTAAAGTTAGTGACACTTGTTAAAGAGAATCTGGTTTCCCAATTGACTTGGCTTGTTAGAAGGTCGCAAAAGGGGATCACATGACCCTGAGACACTGCAACCGTCATAAATACGAGTCAATTGCCAAGCATCTGAATTTTGATCATGTGACCATGACCATGGGAATGCTTGCAATGGTCCTAAATGTGAAAAATGGTCATAAGTCCCTTTGTCAGTGTTGTTGTAACTTTGGTCACTAAATAAACTGTTGTAAGTCAAGGACTACTTGTATATTAGCTGTGGAAAATACAGCAGCTCCAGCCATTTAGTGAAAAGCATCACCATATTTTCACTTTACTCACTGCCTTTTGGGTGGAGAGGGCTCCGTATCCCATTTTTTGATAAAAAGGTGAAGAATTTAAGGGGATGCCTGAAGCAAGGCAGGTGGGTGAGTCCCAAGTGAGGGTGATTTGGAGCGGGCAAGACCAGGCTTAAGGAGAAGCCCATCCAGAGCGGCAGTTGCACATTTTGCACCTTCATAATTGGGAAGGATCGAGCCCTGTTAAGCCGTCAGAATTGAACCTTTTAAAAAGACGTGGTTGTGACGTATCTCAGCTTGCTGAGCAAAAGGAAACTTGCGCTTGCACTCTCCCCCCCCCCCCCCCCCCCCCCCGCCATTCAAAAAGGGCTGTGTGATTTGTCCTAAGAAACCAAGAGTATTGAAACATTTCAAGGTTTCCTTCAAAGGAGAAAGATACCAACCATCCTTTTCTACATTGCTCAAGGAGTGCTGCTGGCTTCCACTATAGCTGTTTACAATATGTCTCAGAGGTGCTTTTTCAAGAGGAACTGTACTTCCTATTTTTTCTTTGAAGATGTTTTGCTTCTCATCCAATAAGCTTCTTCAGCTCTTCAGCTTCTTGGATGAGAAATGAAACATTTTCAAAGAGAAACCAGAAAGTCCAGTTATCTCTTGAAAAAGCACCTTTGGGACAACCATGATCTGGATGCCTGAGCATCTCCATAGACATTTAACTGTACAACAGTTGCAAATCCTTTTGTGTTTCGGCAGGCTACTGTCTTTTCAGCAGGATTCTTGACAGAAAGGAGAAGAATACATTTCCGAGTTGGTAATAACGTGTGTGTGTGTATATATATATATATCCTGTGTAGGTAGGCAGGTAGGTAGACAGACACACAGACATAGACAGACAGACAGACAGAGGATATAATATACACACGGTAACAATGCGTGTATACACACACACTGTTACCAACTCTGACATGTATATACTGTACAGGAAACCCAAGCTTGTCGTTTCTCTGTAACCTGCTACCACAGTTAACTTCTCTGCTCTTCGTCTATGGAGATCCTCAGGCATCCAGGTCGTTTGGGACAACTTTTTTCAAAAGGCAAGCAGCAGGACTTATTGGATTTTCCTTGAAGACGTTTCGCTTCTCATCCAAAAAGCTTCCTCAGTTCTTCAGAGAAGTGAAACGCCTTCAAGGAAACCCCGAGAAAGTCCAAGTTGGCTTTTGGAAAACAACAACCCTTCACGCTCCTTGCTCTCCAAGCAAACGCGTGGAAAGGAAGACGAGCGACAGCTGAGAAGGGGGCGCGGCTTCCCCTCGGCACCTCCCCTTTCCCTTTCGCGCGCCCTTTTTTGTCCCTTTCGTTGAATTGCCGTCTTCTCCAGGCTCAGTGGCGGTCCATGGGTGGGAGTGTAGCACCGCTCCCACGTGACCGACGAGTTTATGCAAAATGGCGGCGCCCAGAGGTGCTGTTGGTATGCTTCGGCTGTTCGCGGGTAAGTGCCTTCTGTTATTTTTCTCAGAACCGCCTGCGAAGAGCCAACATTCCACACGCAAGGAAAGCGGATGTCTCGTATGCACGTCTGAAAGCTGACTGATAATAACTTTTCTGTCTAGCAGGAAGGACCCGATTAAGTGTTTCTCCTTTTATTTAGTAATGCTATTATTTTAGAGAAACTCCGAATTTCCAAATTTATTAATTGTCGGGGGGAGGGGAGGGAATCCAAAGAGTTACAACAAAAGTAACTGATGTACTGTACAACATCCTCTTCTCCCTATGACGGAAGTTTTGCTTTAAATTTGCTGCTGGGATATATAATTAAGCATGCTTTCTTGTTACTTGTGCTCCATCCTGACTAGAAATTATGGTATAGGGATTAAAGATTCCTGTAACTTCATAAACGGAATATATGCTTTAATCTGAATTGAAGTTTGCAAATCTTGATCGGTTATCTAAAGTGTGAGTTGAGATATACCGTACCTAAAATACTTCAGCTCCAGTTTGTACAAATTTGATCCTACATCGTATTGCATCAACAGAATTTGTTTAGTATATAAATAGCTGATTTTCAAAATTTAAACAGCATTGGAGTTGGTTAGTACTTGAAGGAAGAACCACTGGGGAAGAAGGCAGTGGCAAACTGCTTCCATATTGCTACCAAAAATCCCACGCATAATACTGTATTGGATTCTATGGAATCGCCAGGAGTCAGATTTGACTTGTAGGAGGAGTTGCCTTCATAGACTTGTGTATTATATTCTTGGACTTCCATTGAAGATTCTTATAAGTATAGGTTTGCAATGGCAATTGTGTTTCTTTGATCGCAAATTCTAACTTTTGTTGGATTGAAAGCTATGTATAGGAGTAGAGCGAAAGAGGAGATTTCTGATGAACTTGGATACTTTTTCTTTAAGAAAGCAAATGTGAATATAAATTTAAAGCAATTCATAAGTTATCTGTCTAAACTCTGGCATAGCCTGTCTACAGGAATGTGATTGATTGCACTATTGGAGTAGATTGTAAATGTTCTGATTATGCATTGGAACAGTTTTCAATGATTAATAATTTCCTTAGAATAATATTATAATTTTTAATAACAAAAATCAGGATAATATCCTCTGAAACAAATCTTAATGGTCATGAGAGCCTGCAGTATCCTTATATGCACTGATTTTCTGATTTTAAAAAGCTAAATCATTATGAAGTAGGCACTCTCTGCATCTTCTGATAAGTGGCTCTCAATCTTTTAAAATATTCAGTTTCAGATAAAAACTCAATTTATATTTGGAATTCAAAAACAAATAGGAAGGTTATAGTTGTATTTGTGTCTCCTTGAAAGTTCAGATGTTGACCTGTAAAAAAAACAACAGTGTTTACAAGTAGCCATTTGATATATCACTTCTTGCTTCCATGTTTATGCTAGTAAAGCATGTTTATTTCTGCTACTGAGGGAAAAAGTTACTTTAATAAGCTGCCAAGCTATGGTTAATATGCTTGAATGTATTTCCTTGCTAGTATGTATTTCCAGCTTATGTTAACAAGTTGAGTGCCCATATTAGAACTTAGAATATAGAATCATAGGGCTGGAAGGGATCTTGGTCTTCTTCTAGGCGGGACACTTTATGTCATCCTGGACAAATGGTTGTCCAGTCTACTTTTGAAAACATCCACTGAAGGAGTACCCACAAATCTGGGAAGCAAGCTATGCCATTGATTAATTGTTCCCATTGTCAGAAAAGTCCCCCTAGGTTGTATAGAATTTCTGTCATATCCCAGAAGATGAATGTAAGGCAGAACTTACTTTTGGCCATTTATACATGCATACCCATATGTAGATATAAATAGATTGCATTTTTTGTTATGTATTCTGTACTCTTGCACTGGGACAATAGAATCCCTCTGATGATCTGATAATTAACTATAACAATTAACAACGATAATAAGAGAGTAGGAATGGCCTAGCTGTGAAATCATACCGAGAATAAAGTTGCAATAACATCGGAGTGTATTTGAAATGAAAAGGATGGAATTCAGCTAATGTGTTCCACCAACTGTATCTTTTTGTTAGCAGAATGAGATAGAGATAAAAGAATGTTTAACAATTCTCATTTCCTCCTATAAATTTTATTGATCCCCCAGGTAGTTCTTGCTTAGTGACCACAGTTGTACCAGGAACTCAATCAGTAAATGACATGGTCACTAAGTAGAAAATCACATGATGCAGCAGGCTTAGGACCTTACTTCCCTTAGGTCAGGGGTCCCCAAACCCCGGGCTGGGGCCCACTACTCAGCCACAGCCTATTTAAAACTGGGCTGCACAAGCAATAGGCTGGTGTGCACTTGCACATACAGCTCCAGTCACACAAGGTCAAGCTGCATGTGTGTGTGTGTGCCATACCGCCATTCACACAAGTCAAATTGTTTTGCCACCCTTTAAATCAGGGGTGTCAAACTCAAGGCCCACGGACCAGATCTCCCTGTGGGATGCTTAAATCTGGCCCATGAGGCCAGCAATAGCAAAGGACCGGCCCACGGTGCCTCTGGCAGCCAAAATGGGGCATGGAGGGGGCATGCAAGGTCCCCCCACACCTTGTTTTGGTCAGCAGGGTGCTTCAGGAGGTGTCCATCCTGTCTCTCCCCCCCGCCAAGCCAGCCGCGGAGGAGAACTACAATGCTGATCTGGCCCAGTTTGACACCCATGCTGGTTCCTCCCATTTTCTTCTTCCTCTTTCTTTAAAATAATTGTGTCTGTTTCTGCAAGACAACCTCTTCAGAGTGGATTCACATATTCAAGAGTAATCCTAAACTTGCCCAATAAATGTAATTCAAGAATTGCATCTTGCAGTCTGTTAAGAATTGACAACACAATCCTATATATGTCTACTCTGAAGCTAATCCTGTTGAACTGAACAGGCTTCTTCCCATGTGTCAATATGGTTAGACTATGCCTGAAAAGATATGCATTTGCATATGAATGAAACAATCATTTCTGATTTGTGGGATTTCTTTTTCACTTTAGGGGGAGGCAACAGGATAAATTTGCCCTCTTTAAACTCATAATTTTCTATGCTGCAGTAAGGAGATGCAGTGTTCCAATATTTTCTAAAAGAGGTGAAGAAACAGATGCATTTCTTAATCATAAATTGAATGCATTCAGTATTAAGCCTCCTTTCTCCCATGCATTCACCTAAATAAATGTACTGAGGGTAGAAGTGTAAAACGAAAAAGGAAATTTCACTGAAATCTGCTCAGATTTCCCTATTGATGTTGAAAACCATCAGTTGTAGCATTTTATAATTTTCATATAATTTATAGCCTAATATATAAATTAATAGTGTCCTGAAGATTCCTGTTAATACAGGATATTATGTGATAATAACCTGTTCTTTTGACTGTCAGTTCATATCATTACTTTAGGTCAGGGGTGTCAAACTCACACCGTCATGGGAATGTCATATGATGTATTGGGACTTTACCCCCTTCGCTAAACCTGGTATAGGCATGGCTAGCGTGTGACGCAGCCGACCTGTGGGCTGGAAGTTTGACAGCCCTGCTCTAGGTTAATGCTAAGAACAACCTTCCGGAACCCTATACCCTCTAGATATGTTGGAATGGAAGTCTGAAAGTTGTAATTCCGCCCATCTTGCTAATACATAAAATTTGAATAATCTTTCTACATAAAATTAATATCAGTATCTGCCCCACCCCAAAGCATTCTGAGGCATAAAAAGAAAACAAATCTATTTCTTTTATTTAATATTTTATGTATTATATGCTTATGCTTTGATATCATTAAAAGTTAGGTAACACATAGGAATTCTAGTTCACTTAAAAGATCCGGTCCTCCTAAACAGGTCTATAGTTATGGATTAATCAAAGTTGACATCTCTTTCAATGTGCTACATTGAAGTGCTACAATTTTCTGAATAAGATTTGGCTACCAATGGACAGACTTCAAGTTTGCTACAACTCTTTGGGTTTATAATATAGTAGAAACCCAGAATCTAGTAGAGCCAGCTCATCTCTCTTTTTTCTTTTTCTTTTTTACTCTGGAGGAACCCTTGAAATAATTTTCAGGTCTCAAGGAACCCCTACAAAAAAGCATGAAAATTTCACAAAACAATTTTTGAAGCAATTTTTGAAGCAAGAAGCAATGGGTGGAAACTAATCAAGGAGAACTAAGGAGAAATTTCCTGATAGTTAGAACAATTAATCAGTGGAACAACTTGCTCCAACACTGGAAGTTTTAAAAAAGATGTTGGATAACCATTTGTCTGAAGTGGTGTAGGGCAGGCTTGTCCAACCTGCGGCCCACGGGCCGCATGCGGCCCAGGTCGCCTCGTAATGCGGCCCAGTGCCCACCCCAACCTTCTGGCAAGAGCCAGCGAGGAGGAGGAGGAGAGGCAGGCGCAAGGCGGGGCAAGGCGAGCGCCACGCCAAACAGCAACAGAAAAGGCGGGCGCCGCCTTTGCTGCTTCTTCCCCCGCCGCCGCCGCTTCTGCTCCCACCACCGCCCACCCCACCCCGCCGCCGCCGCTTCTGCCCCCGCCGCCGCCGCTTCCGCCCTCGCCGCCGGCGCCTCTTCTGGCCCCGCTGCCGCTTCTGCCCCCGCCGCCACCGCTTCTGCCCCCGCCGCTGCTGCTGCCGCTTCTGCCCCTGC